TGTTTGGTTTCAGGACATCCTTCTCCCAAGCTTACCCCTGGAAAACCCCAGAATATACCCGTGAACCCCAGGAACCCTGTGAGACTCTTTCACCGTCTGTCATCTTTTTGCGTTATGAACCAAGAAGCCGGGCTCATTCCTGGACTGCGAAGCACTTTGAAAACAAAGTTCCACATCCAGCACATGCTTCTGCCTCACGAAAACAGGTACACACAGACACACACACACACACGACACACCCTGAACGCCTAAACCCTTATAATAAACCCTAGACCCCTAGACCTAAAACTCGTAAACCCCTTTTTTTTGAACCCAGACTCCCCTAAACCGCAAGCCCCAAAAAACACGCGCCTGGCCCGCAGAGGCCCAGCGGCCAAGCGTCGCCAAAGCAGCAGGAAGCGACCGAGCCGGAAGCTCGCCGGCACGCCTGGTGTGGAGCCAAAAAACTTTGAGAATTAGAATAGGGTTCCTTTAAAGGGGTCTATAAGGGCTACTACAGGGATCTATGAGCGTACTGTCTAGGGGCCTTCATGATTAGAATAGGGTTGTGGGGCCCACTATACTATAATCATAATAAGGAACCCCCAAAATAGAAAAGGTAATTCTTGAGGCCCCTATAGTTGGCTTCTGCAAAGGCAGTCGCACCCGTGGCGAGAATGCAAGGCTTCTGGAAGAACGTAGTCCTAGCTTGAATGGCTTGCATTCACACTCGAACGAACAAACGCAAGCATGTACATACTCACATACGGCCACATACGCACGTGCAAACATACCTGCATGCATGCATGCATGCATATGTACATGTAATTAAGCATGCATGAATACGTACCTGCATACGTACTTAAGTAAATACATGTGCACATACAAACATACAAACATACGTACATACATACATACATACATATATGTAAACTTACATAGCTACGTACATGCATATGCGCCTACGTGCACAGATACGTAGAGACATACATGCAGTTACACCGACTTGCAAACGCACCGGACGTATGTGTTTGTGCGTGTATCTAAATAACAACATATTTGTATCTGTAGATATGCATGTATCTATGCCGGTATGCTTATATGTACGCATGTCTACATGTATGTATGTACATATGTAGGTATCTACGTACCTATGTATGTATGGGCGTATGTATGTACGTGCGTACTCATGTATGTAGGTATGCACGTATGCGTCTATTTTTATACGTGTGTGTATATATATATATATATATGAATACATAGATACAAGTATGTGAGAGTACATGCATGTATAGAAGTCGATAGGTATGCGCACGTACATACATACATATATATATATGTATATGTATATATATATGTATATATGTGTGTGTGTGTGTCTGTGTTGATGGGTGTATGTACGTGTTTATGACTATCTATATCTCTCGGTCTATACACGTACTCTCATGTATTTACGCTCTCTTGTGCATGTATGCGTGCGCATATGCACACATATGCATGTATGCGTAAAATATGTATATATATATATATATACATATACATATACATGTATGCATATACATATACATATATAGGTATGGATGTGTGTGCGTGCAGGTACATACACGTACACACGCACAGAGCCGTTGCATATACATTGCGTCTGCATATCTGGCACTTAACGCGCTATTCGATGCGGACATAAGCAGGTCTGTCCTCCGCCGCATGTCAAACAGCGAACATACAACCGACTAGTAATTGGCACCCACGTTGATCTAAGTCTCAAACGAAGACAGTGATCCCTGTGTCCCGATGAACGATGTTCAAGTCTTCACGGCACCTTCCAACTGCAGGCGTGATGGCTTCAGCCAAGCACCTGCGCAGCATCTTTGGCGGCTGCGCACAACTCACAACAAGCAGTAACAGGCGGCATTGTTCCGGTCGTTAATCGGTGTTGATTTTAACCACTCCGCAACTTAACCTTAAACCCTTGTCACCTTGCAGAGGGAGCCCCCAGTTCTGGAAAGAAAGGCCGCAAGATGCTCTATGCTAGGAGGTGCATTTGGGATGATGAGACAAAGTATGCGGAGCCCTGGCTGCATATTGAATGGGCTTTTCGGAAGGAAGGCTTAGTAGGGTCTGGGAAGTAGGGTTGAAAGCTGAACTCCCCATGGCTCAACCCTCAAGGCTTTGGAAAGCTCGGTTCTATACGTTTGTAGCGTAAATGCATCTGCAGCTGTTTCCCGCTAGGACTGCCTGGGCTCAGCCCGCATGTGCTCAAAAGGGCTCTGTTAAACTCGATGAAGGGTCACGGGTCCTGCATCAAGCGACCTTCCACGAGGGCTGGTGTCGATTTCTGTGGTTGTGCATCTGCGGAGTGGTAAGCGTGCTTCTTTGGAACTGGACGCGAATGCATCCGTTGAGTCATTGAAGCAGCGTGCCCAGAGGCTGCTGAATTCTTTTGGAGAGGTGCTTGATGAAGCACCACCCTGCCCAAACTAATATTTGGAGACCCTAGTTGGTGTTGTTGGTTGTGCTTGTGGTTGTGGTTGTGGTTGTGGTTGTGGTTGTGGTTGTTCTTGTTGTTGCTGTTGTTGTTGTTGTTGTTGCTGTTGTTGTTTTTCGTTTTCTTTGACTAAGGAACCTTGCCGCTTGGCTTGCAAGTGTGGGCCTTTCCCTTTTTGTTTTGTTGTGTATGTTTGTTGCTGTTGTTGTTGTCGTTGTTGTTCTTCCTTTGCGTCTGCTTTGACTAAGGAACCCTGCCACTCGGCCAGCAAGTGTTTTGCTTGTTTTGTGTTTTTTTTGTGTGTACGTTTGTTGCTGTAGTTGTTGCTGTTGTCGTTGTTGTTGGTTGTGGTTGTGGTTGTGGTTGCCCTTGTTGTTGCTGTTGTTGTTTTTCGTTTACTTTGACTAAGGAATCCTGCCGCTCGGCTTGCAAGTGTTTTGCTTTTTGTTTTTTGGTGCCTGGTGTGTGTGGTTGTGTGTTTGTTGCTGCTGTTGTTGTTGTTGGTTTGTGGTTGTGGTTGGGTTTTTTCTTGTTGTTGTTGTTGTTTTCGTTTACTTTGACTAAGGAACCCTGCCGCTTGGCTTGCAATGTGTTTTTTTTTTTTTTTTTTTTTTTTTTTTTTTTTTTTTTTTTTTTTTTTTTACTCTGACTAAGGAACCCTGCCGCTTGGCTTGTGTTTTTGGTTGTGTTTGCGTTTTTTTTTTTTTTTTGGTGTGTGTGTGTTGCGTGTTGTTGTTGTTGGTGTTGTTGGCTGTTGCTGTTGTTGTTGGTGTTGTTGTTGTTGTTTGTTTTTGTTGTTGTTGTTGGTTTTGTTGTTTTCGTCTGCTTTGACTGACTAAGAAACCCTGCCGCTTGGCTTGCAAGTGTTTAGGTTGTGCTTGGGTTTTGTTTTGTCGTGTGTGTGTGTGTGTGTGTGTTTTTTTTTGTCATTTCCTTTTGTTTGTGGTCGTTGTGTTGGTTTTTGCTTGTTGTTGCTGTTGTTGGTGGTGGTGGTGTTGTTGTTATGGTTGTTGTTGTTGTTGTCGAGTTTCCAACTAAGGAACCGCGCAACTTGGCCTGTTTGTGTTTATTGCTGTGGTTGTTGTTGTCGTTGTTGTTGTTGTTGTGGTTGTTGTTGTTGTTTTCCTTGCTAAGGAACCCCGCAGCTTGGCCTGGTTATGTTGTTGTGGTTGTTGTTGTTGTTGTCGTCGTTCTCTCGACTAAGGAAGCTCGCAGCTTGGCCTGGTTATGTTCTTGTGGTTGTTGTTGTTGTTGTTGTTGTTGTTGTTGTTGTTGTTGTTGTTGTTGTTGTTGTTGTTGTTGTTGTTGTTGTTGTTGTTGTTGTTGTTGTTGTTGGTGTTGCTGTTGCTGTTGTTGTTGGTTGTCGTTGTTGTTGTTGTTGTTGTTGTGGTTGTTGTGGTTGTTGTCGTGCTCCCGGCTCAGGAACCCCGCAGCTTGGCATGATTATGTTGTTGTGGTTGTTGTCGTTGTTGTCGTTGTTGTTGTTGTGGTGCTGGTTGTTGTTGTTGTTTGGTGGTGGTGGTGGTGTTGTTGGTGGTGTTGTCGTCGGTGTTGTCGTTGGTGTTGTAGTTGTTGTTGTTGTTGTTGGGGTTCTTGCTGTTGTGGTTTGTCGTGCCCCCTGCTAAGGAACTGCGCAGCTTGGCCTGGTTGTGTTGTTGGTGTTGTTGTTGTTGTCGTGCTTCCGGCTAAGGAACCCCGCAGCGTGGCATGGTTATGTTTGTGGTGGTTGTTGTCGTTGTTGTTGCTGTAGTTGTTTTTGTTTGTTGTTGTTGGTTGTGTTGTTGCTGTGTTGTGGTGGTCGTGCCCCCTGCTAAGGAACTCTGCAGCTTGGCCTGGTTGTGTTGGTGTTGTTGTTGTTGTTGTTGTTGTTTTGGTTGTTGTTGTTGTTGTTGTTGTTCTGATTGTTGTAGTTGTCGTTGTGATCGTCCTCGTTTGTTGTCGTGCTCCCGGCTAAGGAACCACGCAGCTTGGCATGGTTATGCTATTGTGGTTTGTTGTTGTTGTCGGTGTTGCTGCTGTTGTGGTAGTCGTGCCCCGCGCTAAGGAACTGCGCAGCTTGGCCTGGTTGTGTTGTTGTTGTTGTTGTTGTTCTTGTTGTTGTTGTTGTTGTGGTTGTGGTTGTTGTTTTGGATGTCGTTGTTTCGTTGTCGTTGTCGTTGTTGTTGTTGTCGTCGTGCTCTCGACTATGGAAGCTCGCAGCTTGGCCTGGTTACGCTGTTGTGGTTGTTGTTGTTGTTTTCCTTGCTAAGGAACCCCGCAGTTTGGGCTGGTTATGTTGTTGTTGTACCAGTAGGCTCGCAGTCCTGCACAAATGCGTGCAGCTGCAACCTGGTTCACACAAGCTGAAACAAAAGAGACTGATGAGTTGCTTGCGGCTGGCATGCACTGCATCCATGTTGATTCATCCTTGCAGTTGAGTGACCCGTTCTTCCGCTTTCTCTCAAATCGGAGTTGGTTTTGATGACTGACTAGGTTCGGTTTCGTTCTGGCCACTCGGTGACCAAAGGTCACACGTGAAGTGCCTGGGTTTAGAGCAATGGCCCTTAGTCCATTGGACCAGCACATTCGGATCCACGCGGCGCTTGAGTCGTGGATTGCCATGCTTGGGGTGCCACCTGACCATCGGAATGAGTCCGAATCTCCAGGTGTGGCTCAGTGTTCATGGGCTCAGGAATGGGCCGATGAACTAACTCAGCAGTGGGAGCAGACTCAAGACGTAGCTAAGGAACACTTACCCGCAACGCAAGCAGGCATCGATGCATCGAATGCAGCCGGCATTTATGCATCTTCATGCTTGGTGGGCGGAGTTGCTGTGGTCAAAGCATCTCCTCGCCCATCATGTGCTCCGAACCTAGCTTCAGGTAGTGTCCAAGCTGACTCACAAGAAGACAGTATGGAAGACACGCTTGTTGATGACTCGCAGCTCAAGTTTGCAGACGTACACGCCTTTGAGGGTGCCTTGGAGGATTGGAAAGCCAAGGTCCGAGAAGTGTCTGCTGATTATCGTACGTCCCTGTGCGTGACATTCAACCCCCAGATCAGCAGTGCTCGCGCTTTTCATGACCTAGTTGAGTCGCTTGGGATTAGCATCATCGCACAGCCGAAGAGCGATGATGAGCCTGTGCCTCGCCAGTACCCAAGGGCAACTGTGGCTGGCGACACAGCTCAACCTGCATTGATTGTGATCTTCAAGCCTGCTCCAGGCGAACAGAAAGTTACTCTACAGGCAAACCTCAGGCTCAAGACCTTGTGTGCCAAAGGTCGCAGAGGTGCCGTCGAGGCCCACATCGAAAAAATGTTGGCCTACTTCGGCGCAGTCGTGAAAGTCACCAGCAGCGCGCCTGCCGCTGGGAAGAAGACTCACGTAAAGAGAGCGGCAGGGCAGACGCATCTTGACATCCGTTCCCTCATCCTCAAGAAGGCGAAAGTCGTGGCGCGATGAGCGGCTTTAATTCAATTTTAATTCGTTTTGTGGATTTGTGTTTGTACGCCTTTCGTGCGAGGCTGCACCTCGGCTGGTCATGCTTTAAGTATGTTGGAGACACAAGTCTTGTAATTAGCTTGCCTGTGCAACAAGCACAGCACACTAAAGAACGAGATCTTTTCTGTGCCTGCGGTGAGTAGCAGCAAAGATGGTGATTCCTTCAACGTTGTACGCTGCTTGCTGCATTGAGTTGCTGTTTTTGCGTTGCTTCTGTGTGATGAGTGCTTCAATCTTCGCGTCCTTGATGTCGAGCAACCATAGCATCTTTTCTGAGGGTATCAGGGTAGCAGCTCTCATGGACACGTTCCTGCGCAGTCGGCTGCTGGAGTGGCTGCAGACAGGGCCGCGTCGTCTGGAGAGGCTTGCAGCCTCTAAAGACATAAAGGCTTTACTGGAAGCAGCTCCTGCCATCATTCGAGCAGGTAGCAGGTCAGTAGCTGTTGCAGCGACAAGCAAGCTCCTCCACCTAGCTGGTGGTTTGTTTAGTTTCCTGAAAAGGGATGCCTCGTCACTGCTTGGTGCCAGCCCCGAGCACGGCGAACGAGTCATAACGCCATATGCGGGTGTGTATTCACCTTCAGTGAGTGCCTCGGCAACAGAGCCTGCCGACTCAATATCCGTTCTTGGCTTGGGATGCTTTAACCCAGGGCGCACAGGTTTATCGCAACTAGGCACTGATGCGTTGCTGCATTGGCGATTGTGGGCCATCTCGGCGGCAATGCAAGAACACGAGCTCCATGTGCTTGCGTTGCCTGGTTCTAGGTTGCCTCCAGGTGCGCTTTTGCCTGAAAAGTTCCCCATGACGTGGGTTGGTACGAGGTCGGTTGACTGGAACTGTACTGGGTTTTTCATTGATTCGGACCTCTTCGAATGCATTGTGGTTCTCGATGATTTTTGTAGTGAAAGGGTTTGTTGGATTTGCATCCAAGCGCGGCAGCCTGCACCAAAGCAAGGGCTGCTTTGCTGCAGTTTCTACTGCTCCCCGGGTGGTGATCTCAGAACATGGTCAAATATCTTGGAGTCGTATGCGCAGCTAAAGGAACGATATGTGGCGTATGATTTTGTTTTGTTGGGCGACGCCAACACTCACTTGTCTTACGTGGTTGATCACCCTGCCACGTGCAGATGCCTACACTGTCGGCAGAACCCCCATGACGCCCAGATTGAATCATTAATCGGATGTGCAGGCCTACGTGCCGTCAACCCTGCGGTTGCAACACATGATAATGGCAGCATCCTTGACTTGGTCCTTGTCCCGACTCATTTTAATCTCCAGGCTTTTGTGCATCTTGATCGTCTAGGGGGTTCTGACCACAGACTGGTTTCCACCTCGGTAAGTTTGCAAGTCTCGTGCAGCTACGCAGGCACACTTGGGAGAATATCGTGGCTCTCTGGGGAAGTTTGGGATGAAGCGTTGTTGAAGATTTCGATGCCCCTGCAAACTTTGGAGGAAGCGATCGCTGACACCTTGTTGTGTGTTGATCTCCGACCCACACAGTTTGGAGGGACGATCTCCAAGAAACTGCGCCGAAGCATCCTTGATTCCGCAGCTTGGGCGAGAGATGTCCTTGTAGTCATGGCTGGTCACATGGCCGGGGCAGTGAAGGTCCGAGGAGCTCGTCGTGCTGTGAGTGCAACACTTTCCCCCTTTGATTATGCAACACAGGAGGAGTTTAAAGAGGCAGTCAAAGAAGCGTCTGCGCGGGAGCAGTTCCGGGCCGTGCATTCTTACGCTCAATTGCGGCAGCGGGATCGTGGTGCTTCGGAGAAGTTTTTGTCTTCTTTCTTTAATAAAGAAAGTCATTTTCGCATCAGCTTGCTTGATCAAGACACTGGGCAGAGTCTTTCTGAAGAAGACATGCTGTCGGCTCTTGTAGAAGATATGATGGCGCGAGCTGCTAATGATTTCCCTGCAGATAGTGATGTGCTAAGGCAGGTTGACGCTGATGTTGCTGAAGTGCGCCGCCAAGGAGGCTTCAACTCCAACAGCTTGGATGCCTCTCGCATAGCACCTGATGATGTGCAAAATGAACTCTACACCGAGGCTGAACTGGAAAGAGTCTTGCAGAAATGCAAGTCCTCTAAGAAATGTCTTCATGGATGTTTCTCGTTGCTCAAGGCACGAAATCCTATCCACAGACGACTGCTCTTGAATTTGGCCAATCTCTCGAGACATGTGGGCCTCACCTCCACTGTGTGGTCTCTGAGACAATTTGCCCACATACGAAAATCAGGAAGCATGGTAGTCCGCCGCATCCAGTGCTTGCGCCCCATCTCCCTCACCACGGACATGGCACATTTGATAGATGGCTTGTGGTTAAACCGTAACCGCCTCAAAATGGAGGCGCTCGCAGGGCCGTGCCAGGTTGGAGGGGTGTCTGGCACCCAGCTACTGCTGCTAGCCATTGTGCTGCTGGCCCAAATCTGAGACTATCAGGGCCTGCCGTTGTACTTGGCAATCTTAGATTTGAGGTGGGCTTTTGACGTTGCTAGACTCAATAACATGAGATTGGCCTGTTCAGCTGCTGGGGTCTGTGGCACTGACTGGTTATTGATTGATGACGTTTTTCCTTTGGACAGACAGTGTGTCCAGCTTCATGGGCTGCTCTCTCAGGTCTTTGTTCTAGGTTGTGGCATAGCCCAGGGTCGCCGCTTTAGTGTGCATGTTTTCAACTGCCTGCTATCTGGGCTGCGGGACGAAGTTCGCCGTGTGCTCCCGTATGGCGTGTGCGCTTGGCTCCCTAAGAATGTCATGAGAGCTGTGTCCAATGTTGATCTAACTGACCCAAGCTCGGACTTCGTTTCAAAGCCACAGATGGGAACTCTGCAGCCCATCTTGGAAAGACTACAAGACGAAGCGCTGCCGCCACACCAGCAGACTCGCGAGGTGCAGGAGGTTCTGGAATCATTACCTAGTTTTGCGGACAGGTGTGCTTTGCTTGACGCCCTCGGCTCCTGCCCAGTTGAGCCTTTGCAGTATGTGGATGACACTACCGTTCCCTGCTCCTCTCCTGGTGCAATTAGATATGTGGTCAACAAGTCAGCTTCTTCAGCTTGCGCACGGTATGCGGCTCGCACCAAGTCGCAGTTTCATTATGGCAGCAATAAGACCTGTGCCATGGCTCTCTTAAATAGCCCGCCCCTTGAGCCCTGCTCCTTGGATTGCGAAGTTGTATCGCAAAAAACAATCCTCGGGGTTTTGTTTGATCAGGACCTGACCTTCGAACCCTTGTTGCGCGCAACCTTGGCAAGGGCTTGGTCCATGTTCGTGGATTTGTTTCACACGGCTGAAACTGGTGGTTTTTCAGTCCCGGTTTTGGTTTCCCAAGTCATCATCAGGTTGCACCCAGTGATTTTATGTGTTGCAGCTTTCATTGCTCTGGTACCTGGCGTACTGGGCAAGTTGAACCAGCTACAGTGGCGCTGGGGCAAGACGATCCTTGGATGTAGATACCAGCGCGAGCTTCGATATCATTTGGTGGTGGCCCAGTGTGGCTGGGACATGAGACTTGGAACTTGTTTGCTCCTCGAGCTGGTCATGATGAGTGCTAGGATTTTGCTTCTTCCTACAGATCACCCCACAGCGAGACTCGCAGCATGTCTGCAAGCTGCACCCTGCGTTTCTTGGTTCACGCAGGTGAATGCCCTTATCCGGGAAGCTTCTCTGCACCGAGCGCTACCAACACTGTTAGACTGCGGCATCTTCACATGCCAGGAAATCAATGCAGCTAGAACTGATACTGTCCTACGTAAAAAGATCTTACACAGGTATCGTCATGAAGTTGTCGGGCCAATCTTGTTGGAGCATGACAGAAGGCATCTTGCCGAGTGCCTGTCCTACGACATTCCAGTCTTTGGATGCTCACTGGCAGCTTTGGGCTTCTACACTCTGAAGCTGGATTGGGAAATCTTTCATTTGGAAACCCCGAATACCATGTGGTTCAATTTCCGAGCTTGGAGCTTAGTCCGCATCACGGCAAGGTGGCCTCTGCCGCTTTTGGGTTTCAAAGACTTTCCGCTACACTTGACATGCCCAGCTTGTGGGGAGCCGGAGGCTTCTATCGTGCATCTGTTGTGCGAGTGCGCAGCCACACGGGAATCCTTTGCATCTTTCTGCAATGAGGCCCCTGGCTGTCTGAACAGGCCCACAGCCTTCCTGCGCGCACTGTTTGGCACAGCAGAGATGTGGCTCGAATCTCAGAACTACGTGGGCACGTGTCTTCGACTGGCTTTTTTCTGACCTTTTGCTCTGTGCAAGCACCCGGTGGCCAGTGAAAGACCTGAGCCATGACGCTGCCTGCATGTCTCGGTAGACAACAAGTGGGCGCACCCCTTGCTGTGTATCGGGAGTCAGCTGTTGTAGCCCTGTTTCTGGGCGCAGCTGTTTGGTCACACCTTACCTTACCTTACCTTTGAGGCCAGGGCCGCAAAGCGCAGCTGAGATATCGAGGGACAGGGAGAAAGGCACACAGAGAGAAAGAGACGGGGATACAACACAGAGGGAGAAGGGCGAAGAGCCAGAGAGAGCGGAGAACAAGAGAAAGCAAGAGCGAGTGAGCAAAGGACAGAAAATCTCGGAGAGAGACAGATACAGAGCCTAATAGAAAAAGAGAGATAGAGAGAGAGAGAGATAGAGAGATTACATCAAACAGCCAGATACCAAGCTAAATCCACCGCATGCCAAGAGTTCCACCTAAAATCAAGCAAAGTTGGCATCAACACCGAGTGTCATACTCAGTCCATTTCTTTGATCCCGAAGGCATCCTTACTGCTTCCGCAGTGCGAAAGAACCCCTCGATACTCTCACCCCCTCAAACCAAACGGACTGGCCGTTGACATGACTATGACGGAAGCGATGATGAAGATGGACCCGGATATCGCTGATAGATCAAGAAACAAACTTCAACCTCGACAGCGGCCACCCGAAACCCTGCAGGGCCAAACGCCCTACCCCCAAGGTCCCAACTTCCTGCAGCCCCACCAAAAAAATGTATGTAACATGAAGAGCCTAAACCCTATCAAAACCCCGTCCGCCGATTTGTAACTTAAGCTCTGGGACGTAAGATCCCATCAGCAAGACAGCGAAGACTAGTACATGAACAAACACTTCGGCATGTACAAAGCTGCTTGAAGCTTCTCTGTGCGCGCTATGCTAGATTATGCTATTCTAGTCTCTCTCTCTCTCTCTCTCTCCCTCTCTCTCTCTCTCTCTCTTCACTTCTTCACTTCACTGGGGTCAAGCTCCGAAGAGCCCGCGCCGGAGCGCCCCCTTTCCCCCATCTTCGGTGGAAAAGGGCTTTGGGGCAGCAGCGCTTGGGGTTTTGCCCCCCGTGGTCGTTGTAACTTGTGGTGATCGCCTGTCGGTAAACCTCCCTGACCCTGTACGTTATCGCGCCTCCCGGCCTCATCACCGCGCTCTCTGTAGCACTATCCTAAGTCCCTGCGACAGGCGATTCTCCCCAAGTAATACCTATGGCAGGCAGCACTTCCCCGATACAACACGCTCTCTCTCTCTCTGTTTCTCTGTTTCTCTGTTTCTCTGTTTCTCTCCCTAAACCCTAAACCGTTAACCTTATCTGTTTCTCTTTCACCCAGTGCACTACGACTCTACGCCGCCTCTCGGCTTCCCTGCCGCCGAAAGCCACAGCGCCTGGCCGCTGGGCGAGGGCCCGGCAAAGGCGAGCGACTTCTCCTGTGTGTGGGCCGTGGGGTTCAGGCCCAGGTTCTTGAGCTTCGGGTTTAGGCAAGGCTGAAGATAGCAAGAAAGCTTCTTTTACTTAGGCCTCACAGTAACCTAGGAATACAAAGGGTGCCCTTTTTGGTTTGAAGGGTGAGTTATAAGGGAAACCTGAGCCCTAAAGACGGGAATAAGGGCCTACTCTGGGTCCTAACCTAAACTGATGGTTCGGGGGGCTCTATAACTATGTTGGGGCACCCCGACAAATACTCCCAGTCATCACGTCATTCAGGCGCAGTACACTCGGAAATCCCAGGGCTTAAAGGCGCATTTAGTAAAAACATTTCAGGCCAAAGAATGCAGCTCAAAAGCGATCGATACTAACACGGGGCGGGAACTTGAGCCCTACTGTGAGGAGTCGTATGGGCAACTGTTTAGGCTTATGTTGGATCCGAATCCTGCACAACATCCAAGGCGGATCCACCGCTCCTGCATTCAACACGCCGGCGTTGTCGGCTAGTCGCGCTGCCATCCCGGTTTCCAGCGCCTTTCGGGATTACAGATGCGTACTTTCATCTGTGTTTATACATGCATATTATACCCTTTTGCTTATGGGAGGGGGGGGCCCAAATGGAGCACATGTTATGGCCATTGTGAAATTGTACTTGGTTTGAACTGTCGACTGCTATCGATATCCTGTGGTGGTCAAGAACAGCAACACTACAACCACCACCGACACCACAGCGACCACGATGACGACGACCACAACAATAACAGCAGCAACAGCAACAGCAACAGCAGCAGCAACAGCACCAGCACCAGCACCGGCAACTGCAACAGCCAAAACAATAGCACCAGCACCTCCACCAAGCATCACCACCACCAACAACAGTAACCAACTTCCAACAGCCAACAGCAACGGCAACAGCAATAGCAACAGCACCAGCGCAGCAGCAGCAGCAGCAGCAGCAAAAGCAACAGCAACAACAGCAGCAGCTGCAGCAAAGACGACGTCGACAACACCAACACCAACAACACGACCCCCGACAACCACCACGACCGCAACCGTAACCACAATTGCAACCACGACGACTACCACAACGACACCAGCAACTACATCAACTCACAAGTCCAACCAGAACTCGTACTACTTACTACCTACTACTACTACTACTACTACTACTACTACTACTACTACTACTACTACTACTACTACTACTACTACTACTACTACTACTACTACTACTACTACTACTACTACTACTACTACTACTACTACTACTACTACTACTACTACTACTACTACTACTACTACTACTACTACTACTACTACTACTACTACTACCTACTCTCAGTACTGCGTTTACTATCGTCGTCGTTGAAACGGAGAGTTAGTGATGCTTGCAACATATGTTCGAGGCACAGCTCTCGTCATGAAATGTTGCAACTCATACGAAATGCTGTCACCTTAAACGGGGGCGTAGCGTTCAGGGTTTAGGGTTTAGGGTGAGGTTTAGGGTTTACGGTCAGAGTTTAGGGTTCAGGGCTTAGGGTTGTGAACCCTGGGACCTAGACCCCGAATGCACAAAAGAACGACTAAAGAAAAGACGCAGACCTGGGAAGAGACCCATAAACCCCTTGACTAGAAGGCATTCCTTGAATGTACCGAGGTTCCTTCGTGTTGCAGGCTATGTTGATGGAACCTCAACCACCAATACCTGCAGGAAACGACTAGATAAGATGCCCCCGCGAGCCACCTTATGAACTCTCCATGCAATGGAATCCTGAACCCCTAAACACTAAACGCCCGTTTAGCCCGCGGAACCGAGCAGCCAAAGTGAACGCTTAGAATCGGCTTCCATCTGAGTTTGGGTTGGGCTTTCCAGAAGGATAACACACGATCTCGCCGGTGTAGGTATAGGACGGTATAGAGATGAGTATAAGCTTTGCGGTTTATATAAGGGGGTTTGTTCAGGATCTGCGACACTAGAAGTTCAAGGTTGCTTTGATGGCGTTCACATTTGAGCCTGTGGAGAGTAGCGCCCTAGACTCGACACCTAAGTAGGGTGACTGAAATCCCAAAGCCTAGACTTGACGCCACAGAAGGGCCTTGCGAAACTCAACAACAGGGTTTGGGTGCACCATCTGTAAAATCTTATAACTATACCACGGGCTTGCGTGTCTGGTTCTCAGTAGGGAATGAGGGATTGCATTATGGGGACGATTATTGGTGATTATATAGTAGTCGCCATTTCCCCATCCCCTATTAAGCACCAGGGAGTAGCCCTACAGCACGCGCTCCTTTGCCACAGGAACCTAATTAAGAAACCTTGGGCCTTTATGAGGGATCCTTAATTGAATCCTACTATTTTGGGGATATAGGCCCAGGGTGTCTTAATCAGGTTCCTACGTTATGCGTTCCTTTTGCCTGGCGTTGGCGCATGGTCTCGGTCTCGGGCTAAAGCCGTTTGGAGGGAAGTCCTTGAGGAGGTCTCCAGGACCCAGAGACTTCAAGATCCCTTCATTAAGGAATACCTAAGGGTTCCTTTCAGGGATCTCTAGGGTTTAGGGTTTAAGGCTCTTTAGATCCCTTTCAGCAACCATTAGACATGTATTCCTTAAGGACTTCAAGCTCAAACTTTGAGAATCCTTAGGAGCTTGTGTAGTGGTTTAAGGCTTCAGGGCTCAGAAATCGCTATAGGGTCGAGGGATTTGGGTTTTATGTCATACACACACATAGTCATATATATATATATATGTATATACATATACACATATATATATATATATACACACATATATATATATATATATACATATACCAATCCAGACAAACAGACATACATACCGAGTTACATATAACTTTGGGAGACTCAGGGTTTAGGGCTTCAGCGACTGTAGGGCCTATAGAGATGAAGGCAGGGCTTGCAAGACTAGGGCTTTGAACTCCAGAAAGTTGTAATGGTAGGATCCCCTATAATTTATCTTAAAGGGGTTACGATAATGATATTCCAGCTTTCTGCTTCAAGGGCCGATGGAGTCTCTGAGCACATCCAGCATGGATGAGCGAGTCAAAAATCCCCTGTGAAGATGCTCGGTCAGAGTGGCTTAGCGGTTTTGGGTCCGGTTTAGAGCTCAAGTTTAGGGTCTATAGGGCGTGAGTTTCGGGCTTGGGTGTTTAAGCTTACGGTCAAAGGTTTGAGTTTAGTTTTCATTTAGAGTTTCAACCTGAGAATATGCAGCCTGGTGTGTGTGTGTGTGATGGTGAGCATCGTTGGCAGGGCACCCGCCGACGGCCTGCCGTGGCACGTGGAGAACATTCGCCGTTTGATAGGTGCCAACGAGCAGCAGACGGTGCTTTTCTGCGGCCTACTCCCAAGCCCAAATGCTAAGCTGTCATTCCGCGAAACGACCTTCAAGAGCGCTTAACTGTTGGTGGGCAGCAATGACACTGCTTGGGAGCTTCTTGCCACCCTCAGCTTTACAAAACCTCCTGCATGCACTGAAGTGACCCTACGGCCGCAACCCGCCAAAGCCTACGAAGCTACTATAGGGGCCATTATACTATACTCATCACAAGGGACCCCCAAAATAGTATTGTTAATTATTTAGGCCCCATATTACAGCCCTCAAGCTTACAGCCACGACGAAACCGTAAGCCCCTGCAAGATTCTGAAGAGATAAGCACCGTTTGCTCACAAGTCGTCTCCGACTGCGCGGGAACCAAGCTGAGAGTCTGTTGCTCCCACGCACCACACAGGCAGATGACTTTCTTTTTGTTTCGAAGTTTGGCTTCCCTCAACCCTAAAACACTAAAACCCTAAATTAACTGCCTAAACTCTAAGCCTTTAAACCCTAAACCCTAAGCCTTTAAGGACCCAAGGCGCTTACTCGATAGGAGAGTTCATGCGATGCCCGGCATCCCAAGGTGACCCCTCAGCAATAAGGGTACCATTATTCCTAGTAATCGATTTTAGGGTTTAAGGCTTAAGGTGTTGATAAAGAAACCCCAAACTAAAAAGGGCAAAAGGGTCCTGCTCAGGAACCTAGATCCTGACCTCTGGGGCTGAGGGCTTAGTTCTTCAGCGGAGTTGCCTGGCCGCCGAAGGTGTGGGCAATATAGCGGCCTTGATGAGTACCATAGGCTTCCGAGGCTAACCACTTACATTCTTAATTACTTCAATGACTACTATAGTTACTATAGGTGTAATAATTATAGAATAGTTCACCGCTACGGAGTGATAGCTCCTATGGTGATACTTTCATCCGTTTGCGATTCGGGGTCTCGGGCGTTTCATTTAAGAAAACACCCTGTTTCTCCAGATGAAGGAACGACTGTCTACTGTTTTGCAGGTTAAAAGCTTGGAGGATTTTACAGCTTTGATTGGCGGATCGGATTGCCCTGTTCGTTCGTTCCTGGCAGGCTGCCTATCGCCGAGATTAGAAAGATGTCAGCCAGAGAACAGAAAACCCAACAAATACAAGTGAATGGCAATCTTGGGCTGTCAAAGCTGGACTAAGCCGACAGTTCCTAAAGCCTAAACCCCACACCCTAAACCCCTAAACCCTAAAGCGAATGATTTCGGATGCAAGGGATTCTACCAACTGACCTCCTCTGCTTGGTGCGCGTCGAGTCCTCTGCGCGACAGTCCTGTATGAGGAGCCCCCCGCTTTAGGGTTTAGGGTTTAGGGCCCCTTGAAACGGCTTTCCTTGTTGACACTCTTTTCCGTCTGCCCAAGTCTTTAGGAGCTTAAAAGGTCTAGGGTATAGGGGTCCTGCCTGTGTCGTAAACCCTAAACCCGAAACTTGAGACTGCAATATATGGACAGGGACACGGCACTGCGCCTGGCGCTTGAATCCACTGAGCCCTATACCCCCGGTTCCAAACAACCGAATATAGGAGCCTTAACAAATCGAAGAGGGTTCTAGGGCCAACCATGCTATACTTTTGTAGGGTTGGGATACGGATAATACTGCTAGCTATTCCGGCATCTACTACACTTTTAGGCATCAATCGCAGGACCTCGCTGAGGTTGGACTGTGCTCCGCTGCTCCACAGGAAGCTTTATAAGGGAGAGCACTGGAACTGGGTGGCTGAGGTTGACAGCATGCGTCGTTCTTCAGCCTGATTCCTTCTGAGAGTCTAGCAGCCTTGTCCCACACCCTCCGCACGAGAGGCAGGACGGTGCCACGGGCTGTGGCTCATGGACGGCATCAGCGTTGCCCTAGGAAAAGGAGCCATCGAAGGACTCTTGAGATCCTTTTGTTCCTGGAGATGGTTCCGGATTCGGCACTCGATTGAGCAGCACCACCGCAATGCCAAAACATGACGCCTTCATGGTTGCAGATCGCAATAGTAGCAGCAGCAGCAGCAGCAGCAAAGCAGCAGGAGTAGTAGTAGTAGTAGTAGTAGTAGTAGTAGTAGTAGTAGTAGTAGCAGTAGCAGTAGCAGTAGGAGTAGGAGTAGGAGTAGGAGTAGGAGTTGTAGTAGTAGTAGTAGTAGTAGTAGTAGTAGTAGTAGTAGCAGTACGGTTGTTGATATACATCCTGCATTACCTTAAGGACCCTGGACTATGGGAATTGTGGAACATTCGTAATACTGAGTAATGCAGGATTTGTATCATCAGCCGTAGTACTAGTTGTGGTGGTAGTAGTAGTAGTAGTAGTAGTAGTAGTAGTAGTAGTAGTAATAGTACTAGTAGTAGTAGTAGTAGGAGTAGTAGTAGTAGTAGTAGTAGTAGTAGTAGTAGTAGTAGTAGTGGTAAGTGGTAGCAGTGGTACTAGTGGTAGTAGTGGTAGTACTAGCGGTAGTAGTAGTGGTAGTAGTTGTAGTAAAGGTGGTAGTAGTAGTTTTAATAGTAGTAGTAGTAGTAGTAGTAGTAGTAGTAGTAGTAGTAGTAGTAGTAGTAGTTGTAGTTGTACTACTACTACTACTACTACTACTGCTACTACTAGTCGTAGTAGTAAGTGGTAGCAGTGGTAGTAGGTGGTAGCAGGGGTAGTAGTGGTAGTAGTGGTAGTAGTGGTAGTAGTGGTAGTAGTGGTAGTACTGGTAGTAGTAGCGGTAGTAGTAGTGGTAGCAGTGGTAGTAGTGGTGGTAGTAGTAGTAATAGTAGTAGTAGTAGTAGTAGTAGTAGCAGTAGCAGTAGCAGTAGCAGTAGTAGTAGTAGTGGTAGTAGTGGTGGTAGTGGTAGCAGAGGCAGTAGTGGTAGTAGTGGTGGTAGTAGTAGTAGTAGTAGCGTCATCTAGATATGCTCGCGCATCCAGCAGCTGTGATAAAAACGAACGCTCCGAAGCGCAGCCTATGATTCTTCACATAGAAAGGCATGCGATGATACATAGAATGGTAGACAACTGGATGGACGGGTAGGCGGGTAGAGGGATAGAATGCCACTAGATGGGGCCGGTAGGTAGGCAAGGATAGAATGCCTAGCCTCAAAGAGATGCAGCGCAAAGCATGAACCGGAAAGCACTCTTGCTATACGAGCTTGTGCGGAACATTATCGAGTGTTCTGCTGCAGAGCGAGGGGCTGCTCAATGTGACCTCCAAGTTTTTCTAAGTCTCAAATCAAAAGGAGATTCACCGAGACTGGGCTCTACTCTGTTGCACTCGTGCTGTGGGGCAGGTCTGGGAAGGCGGTTTGGGCTTAAGAGTAATTGGCACAGTTAGTGGCCCTTTTATGCAACTGTTGAGCCCAGGCCCAGCCCTCAGAATTGGTACTGGTGAAGGGGGTGTACTCGAAAAGGACTGCGCTGCATGTTTGACCCGATGGAACATTCCTCGCATAGCCAGAGTAAGGCGGAGTTTCCTGTGAAACCAATAACCCACAAAATAAGCGGTAATTTGAGAATAACCTGGTTCTATGACGTTTAACCCTGAAAATCCCGGTTTCTAGCTTCTTCCCTAGAATTCCTGCCTCAGAGGCCGGGTGGCTGGATGTGGACTGCTGTGAGCAGTGCTGTGCAGGCTCAGCTCAGGACATGTCATGCCGAATCGTAGTTTATGCTCAGCAATCCACCCAGAACCTTAAAACTTGTAAGCCTTTCAGCGATCATATTCGGTGTTCGTCCTAAATAAATGTATATATGTCGGTATAGATCAGTAGCCGCCCTCAATATATGGATCAAGCCCACATCAATCAATATAAACTCAAGCTTGCTGGGAACCACAGCACTCGCACACGCATTTTGCTGTGCATGGGGATGGCTGCCGTGTGCTCAGCTTCTTCCACCCATGCAGGGCCTGCAAACGAAAGCCGGGCTGATTGATACAGCATTGCAGGTGCATGCCTTGCACATGAGCGAGCCACCGTGTGATCACATGCCGCAGATTTTGCTACAGCAGCACAGGCCTGTCTAGTTCTGAGTGTGCGCAGCATGCCAGTGAAGTTGCCCGGCTACAAGCTGGATGGGGTGTCGGAGGCATGGGCCTCCAGCGCCGAACTTCTCGGGCGCATGAGCACGAAGAGACGCCTCATCGAGGCACCGGCTGAGGAGGAGGTGAAGTGTTGCAACAAGCACGTCTCACACAACCATAATGTGCTACGTCCTCTGTTGGAAGCTGTTGCCGAACAACCGAATTGGGAGTTATTCCACTTGGATGCTGTGTATGCGCAGTGCCTAGCCAGCATGTTGTTTTCACATAGGATTGGCAGCGGCACTTGTACATGGGCTTCTCACTGCTTCGAATGTAGGATAGCTTGGTGTTGCAGCCCAGGCTTGTGAGTATTCGCAACAAGATGAAGGTCCCGAACAACCAGGACCAAGTGAGGTTGGATGCGACCTGGGCCAAGAGTATGGTATCGTTCGTGAAGATGAAAGTCCGAAAGGGCCAATCGGCACGAGTTCCTAGGCCTCAATATACACGATGTTCGAGCAATGTACCCCAGCTACCCAAGTCTGTCGGAGCTTCTGGCGAGCCCCGCACAAAATCCCCTCCTGCAGCTCAGGATCCCGTCTTCTTTGAGCTGCAGCGCATCCTGGATCCAGATTTGCCCCCGCCAACTATCAGGGAGCCGCAGCCTGCTGAAGACCAGGACATCTATTGCATGGTTCGCTTCAAAAGCCATTTAATCTAGAAGTGAACTGGGGGACACATACCGTAATGTGGCACACACAAACACATATGTATATCATGCACACATGTGTGCATGCATGTGCATGCATGTGTACATTAATTTATATATAACGTAATGCACATGTGCATGCAACTCTAGAGCAGCTGAGGCTGCATGTTGTGCACATGTATGACCGCATGTCTGACTTATATATAGTGCCATATGATGCCAGCTAAATGAATGAAGTGTGATACACTGCAGGACCCGGCTACGGAGGAGGATGACGAGGATGCCGACGATCGGGGCGACGGTGATGACGAGGAATCGGACGGTGCCGCAACGGGTGTTGAGCGGTCGGATGATGAAGAGTTGGAGGCTGCGGAGCCATCCGATCCGGAGCCACATGTTGAGGCTTCAGGGTCATCCGGGCCGCCGGATGCACGGGTCGCGGCTGCATCGCGAAGCAATCGGCTTGAGTTCATGGCAGGCGGCATCATTATCGAGGACAGTCCGGCTACGGACCGCCACGGCAATGCGGAGCACCTGCAGGGGAGTATGCAGAGGCTGCAGAGGATGCAGCACTTGAAGCAGCAGATGGAAGAGGCCAGGGAGGCCCTGCAGCGGCACCCGGTATGCATCAGGATTCCCACCAACATCTTGCAACATGCATATATATGTTTCTATCTCCATGCATGTTTTATATGTATACACTTAAGAATTCGCGCAATTTAGCTTAGGTCGACCAAGCCTGCAGAGAAAGTGACTTTCACTGAGAACCCGCCAACAGGTGGGTTTGGGGCCCATGTGTGCATGCATTCGCAGTTTGTTGCGGTGGGACTGCTCCTCATCTTTGCCTGTCTTGCTGGATGTATATATGAGTATATAGGTGTGGCTCCCCGGGCGCTCACCTTCGCCCTGGACAACGATGAGACGCAAGTGCAGGCTGGAAGCCTGCATGTTTCCTATGTCACCAAATACGATAGGGATCAGGTTCTTATACTGAGCGATCTACATGTATATATATGTGTCCAGCATCGACCATTATTAAGCTTGCTCTAATTTGCACAATTTTGTCTATATAGAAAAAAAGGCATGCTTTCGCCCGCAAGGATGCAGAGATGCCGTTTGCCAAGGCAGAGGACGTGCCAATCCCGAGCCGCTCCCCTACACCAGAGGTTGCACAAGGAACACCGCCCCAGACTCCGCCTACACATGGGCGCTTCAAGAGTGATGATGAGGAGGAGGCCGGACCGAGATTCGCGATCCCGGGGTCACCGGCTCCTGGGTCGCCTATGGGGGATGCTCCTATCCCGGCTTGGGCGAGAAGGGCGAGATCTCCTTCGAATGCCTCGACGGACTCCGCGGAAAGGCTCCGTCGACGTTGTGCCGAGGTGCGCAACAGGGTGAGTGTGCGCAAGGATGAGGTGCTCACCCGCCGCCAGCAGCTTGCTGGGCATCCAGAGGGCTTTTGGACGGCAAGAGAGGAGGATGCCGAGATCGCGGAGATCCCTGCAGATGGACCCCTTTCGGCTGAGGAGGAGAAGATCTTTGCCAAGATCAAAGGCAGTGGCAAGGGCAAACGTGGGAAAGGCAAGGCCCACAAAAACAAGAAGGCCAAGCGCAAGGCCAAGGCTCTTGCTGAAGAGGACAGCAAGAAGCCTGCAGCATCCCCGGTCAAATCGAGGTATTGGCCGAGTCCCAAGAAAGGGGCCAAGCCTAGCAAGTCGAAGGCCGTGTCTCCCAAGGCAAAGGCAAAGGCAAAGGGAAAGGCAAAGGCGAAGGCTGGGGCAAAGGGGAAGGGGAAGGGGAAGGCGAAGGCAGCGGCAAAGGCCGCTGCTTCCGTGCCAGAGCCCGTTGAGCCCGCTGATGCTCCTCCCGGTCCCGAGGTTGAGGCTGAGCAGGGTGATGCAGGAGTCCGATCCCGGAGCACAGTGAACATGCCCAGGCCGAAGCGCTCAGCTGAGGATGCTGAGCACCGCGCACGGCTCGCGTCCAGGCGCAAGGCCCTGCCGACCACGATCGACGGCATCATGGAGCACCTGAATGAGGATGATGAGTGCATGCGCATCGTTCTGGCCCAGCTGGCCTCCATGAATGACGCGATTCCGGTGCCGACGAAGGATGATAAGCACCTGCTGCCGGAGTACAATCACTGGCAGTTGTCCGTGTATTGGACGCGACAGAATGTCGGCATCCTGAGGAGGTCTCCCGATGGCCCGCCTACCTACTGCGGCACGATGAGTGGTGCTGGGTGGGGTGATGTGCGACTGGCTCTCGAGTCAGTGGAGCTGTTTGCGCCTGGTCCTGCATTGTCTTACATATAGAAGGTGTTCGAGGAATTTGGGTATCATATCACACATGTATCCAGGCAACATGAATCCAAATGCTGTTATATAAGCATACAAGCATGTATTGTTCATGTGTAATGTGTGGTGTCATGAGATGCTCGCTGAGATCACGTGGATGGGTGGAGACACGGCCGAGCTCACTCGGCGCCTGGACTCCGTGCATTGCGAGGATTACAAGGCTACCTTGAATGAGTGTGCCAGGTTTGCTGTGACCCTCTTTCGCCACATGAAAGAGACTGGGATTGCTTTTTGTGATCTCTGAATTTTAAGAGACTCTTGTGATTTTGGGGCTAGGAACAACTGAGAGCATGCGGCTGCTGGGAAGCATGGCTGAAATCTACATACTGTGTGCATGCACCCCTGTCTAGAACCGTAACCCTATAATCCTAGGGCCCCTAGATATATGCACCGTCTTCTATATCTATGCCTGTGCATAGTCGTGCAGCTGCAGCTCCCCAGTTGGACTTTGAACTTTGATCTTCGATCATTTGGGCTTCGGGCCTCAGCTTAGAAAGAGGCTGTTGATCACGTGGGAAAGTTCCCCAGTCCTACGTGCTAGGAAGGCAGCCTGTAGTTCGCTGATGCCGGGAGCCGCAATCGCAGCCGCCGCAGAAGAAAACCGCCCAGCTGCTATGCTTCTGCAATACCTGAGATCAACGGCACCCTGCAAACTTCCTCTCGATCCGAATGCCACAAAGGTCAGACGACAATAGATGGTACCACGTGCGGCCCTGAGCAACTTCGCGAGGGGATCGGGTTGATGGTCTATTCAGGGTTCCCTGGGTCTCTTTCTCTCTCTCTATATGTATGTATATGTATATATACATGTGTTCTGTATATGTATTTATACATGTGTAGGGTTTGAATACGGTAGCCTATATATATATATATATATATATATATATATATATAGCATACGTATCTATATATACATATATATGTAGGGTCTGCGAGGGTGCTTCTTTGTTTAAGTTCCCCGGAGAATCACGGATTCGCAACTAATAGTTTTCAGAAGGGATTGAAACTCAGTACGTCTATGTGTGAAAAATATAACATATTCATACAGATACGTTTACACATATGTAATATATATACACTGCTATTTCATTGTGTATATATATATATATATATATGTACACACATTGACGTACTGAGTTTCAATCCCTGGGCCCTTATACACCTGAACCTTGAAGCCTCAAACCCCTAACCCTAAATACCCTGGCACCCTAAACCCTCAAGCTTTGATTGGCACGAGGGCTGTTAAGCCTACAATACATCGGGGTCCCTACCAAGGAAGAACGTGTTGTGCAGCACGGTGCAACTCAGCTTGTAGAACTAAACATGCACTTCGTACACAGTGGAAAAAGTCCATTGAAAGAAGTGGCCCACCGGTATACCCCTCGAAGAAGCCTTCTAAGATTGCTTATCCGTAAATAAAAACCAAGCCGAACTCGCATGACCAAGCCCCACTCTCAGGCGCTGATGGTGGTCCATGGTGCTTTAGACGAACATGCTGCGAGGATGATGATGCTGATGATGGTGTGCTGCTATATAATGCTGATGCTGGGGAAGATGCATGCGATGATGGCGATTCTGTAGCACAGATTGGTCTGTGTCTGGCAAAGGAGCAGGATTCAGTTGCCGATGCTTCGTGTGCCTGTATATGTAATTTCCTCTATACATGCATGTATACATATATATATATATATATATATATATATATACGCCTATAATAGACACAAACAAGTATGTGCATGTTTCTATATATATATATATATATGTGTATATATATATATATGTATATATGCATATATATATATATGTACACAGGCACACAGACATGTGTATATATACATATATGTATGTATATATACATATATGTATACATATGTACAAGCATGTGTCTGCAAGTGTCTCAGATAACATTTTTATACACATATAGAGTTACATTGTTCACATACAATACGTATAGATAAATGTGTGTGTATACTTATACACATATATATATATATATATATAAATATGCATAGTGCTAAAACGACATCTAGAGGTGTGTGCATGTGCATGCATGAAAACGGTATGCGGTGGGAAGCACTTCATGACTACACATCTCTTTTGCATTCCTTGTCATGTCAACACGGTATGCCAGGCCAGGTATCGAAAGCCCTCGAGCTCAAGCTGAAATATACATTTCAGCTGGGAGGTTCCAGGGCTTAGAAAGGGTGTCCCAATCCCGATCGATAGATATACGAGGTGATCCCGGTGAAAGTATAAGGTTATATTCAGGGCTTATATAGCGCTTCTGGGCTATAGCTATATAGGGCTTCTAGCAGGTTGAAAGTTTAGGGGTTTTGTTTGGCCTTTTATATGTACATACGTATAGGGGTTGTATAAGGGGGTTTGAGGGTTTAGGGAGTGCATGCAGGGTTTCTGTATAGTACACACAATAACATTCTGGGGTTTATGGTGCCTTCTA